GGTTAGCGGAGTCTGTAACCTGAATCATTTGTAACCTGAAGCGTCTGTAACCCGAGGTACCACTGTACCTCTGTAATACAATAAGGACTAGCTGTAAAGAAGATAGTGACAGTCTCACCAGAACATAAAACAAGTATTTTTTTGAGGTATACTGTACAAGTTGTTACAAGTGTAGATTTTCTGTACCCACACCGATCCATCTGCTCTCTTTTTTGTCCCTGCAAAGGTACCTCCAGCAGGGTTGCAAGCAGGTGAGACTGGTAAAGAAAACACACAAAGCTTACTCAGAAATGTTTTTAGACCTGCAGTCTTGAACAGGGCTTTTTTTTCTTTCAGCCGGAGCTCAGCTCCAGCACCTCTCAGGTGGGTGCCATAAGAGGACAAGAGAGGAGTTAATGGTGAGCTCCAACACCTCTTTTTCTAGAAAAATAGCACTGGTTTTGAACTTTTTCAAACCTTGGTTCAAATGTGCATTTGGAGACCCACTTCTTAACATTCCCTTATATATTTCAATGGCAGTAGTGTTGCTGTTGCAACCTCTCTTAGGCTAGACTGTGACCCAGCAACAAATCCCGATCCACCAGTGGAAGACCAGCATGTTAGACCTCCTAGGAGGAAGTCTCTGCTGAAACTTTGAAGAGTGGCTTCTGTAGCTGTAAAATCAAAACATACACGATTCGCCTCCTGGATATCTAAAACTACTAGCCAAAGCCTGCCATACAACAGACTCTCATAGCCCAAGATTGTTTCCTCTCCTGCCTTTCATATCATTGAACTGAAACCATCACTCCTGTCAAAAAGTCAGGCTTGCAGATGAAAGGCCAGTGCATTAAGACAGCACGTAATTGTCAGCCTCTGAGTTTCTGACATTAATCGTTTTACTCAAAGAAAGACAGTGGAATGATTTTCAGACACACACCCCCAACAACCATTTCTATAAATGCATTGCCAATGTGCCACACTTAGCCTGGATTAAAGTAAAATGAATGAAATACTACTAATAATAACTCATGGTTTGCTAATTAAAAGTAATATGTTTTCCCATTTTTTGGCAATTTGATAACATAAAACACTTAGTTGGGGGGCCACAGGGGGAAACAAGCTAAGATGGATAAAAAATGTTTTGTGTTCACCCAAGCAAGACTATGTTAATGCACATTATCCCATTAATGCACATCAACATCGGGAATAAGCGTACCAATGCAAGCAAGAAGCATACACTTATCATCATTTGATAACATGTTTAATGACAGATTGACGGTTGATTTGCAAATGTGAACTGGCATCAATGTTGCTAACTTCAGCTTCTGCCGCCTCCTCTGCGATGCCAGCATATTTATGTGCATAATTTGATTTTGCAGCCGCACTGTTAGTACATTTTTAATATTAACTATGCAAGAACAGACAGCCGAACTTAAGTTGCACTGATGGTTTGAGTTCATTAGATTGAAAAAGATGGGCCGGCGATGACAAAGATGGAGATGGCAGGGAAACATCAAAGAGGCAACACTTAAACGTACTCCGTTGCGAACAAACCGAATGAACACATTTCACATTGTCGGTTTCAACTGGGGCCTTACATGCGAGAGCAGGGAATGTTATATATATATATATATATATATATATATATATATATATATATATAGTTTGTGTTTATGCCCTGGGCATATCGACAGCAGCTCTTAAAAGAGGAAACTCTTGGCCACATAACGATAAGGTATCTATTTCTACTGGGGGCTCAAATTGGGTCATATATCCAAGCTACAAAACACAGAACACTAGAATGGAATGGCTATATTTTTTTGCACACCGTAGTGTACCAGATTTACATAGGTTAAATGGTACCTGACTCTCTAAATCTGTTCTGGGGGTGTTCCCTCAACCCTCTGGAGCACAATTGGGGAAGGTGCAGGGTGCACACAGATGTGTGTGTGGGGGGGGGGAGTCCCATTGCACAAATGGAATTACTTGCGCTGACAGGATGGTTACTTAGAGCTGCATTGGGCACAAGCCACAATGTCCAATTCACAGACTTAGGCTGGTTTCATGAGAGACATTAAACTGTGAAAGGTTCCAGAGCCCAGTTCTGAAAGGTTGAATGAGCTGAGTATGTTTAGCCTGGAGAAGAAGTAAGAGGTGAGATGATTGCCACCTTCAAATATTGGAAGGACTGTCACTACACCTCTCTTCAGGTGGGTCAAGTTGACACATGAAGAGGGATCTTGAGGATGAGCTCGCTAGATCTGTCCCATCACTGATCCTGTGACCCTCAAACTTGTGGAGGGAAGATTTGTGAAGTGGGGAACCCTCTCTACCCATGGAAGTTCTTCACATGATTTAGAACCCTTGCATTCTAATTGGGGGGAGGTTACCTGCCCGAAGAGAGCGTAAGTAAATGTGCTGTATTAATCATATTCGCAAATAAAAGAAAGCAAAGCTTTAGAGACAAGAAGACAAGCTTAGCGTTTTCTTCAGTCTTCCCCATCCAGCCTTCATGCAATGGAGACATATCTGGTCACCCTTTTATGTCCTGTATTTTATTTCTGTGATGGGCATTATTCTCTCTCCTGTTTAGTTTCTCAATGCTGGCTATGATCAGTTTATTTGGTTTGCTTTCAGCCTGGAAACCTACATTCATTTACCTGGGAGTAACCCCACTGAACCCAATGGGACTTACTTCTGAGTAGACATGTACAGGAGTGGACTTGTATGCATTGATTGATAGTCTTAAAATGTATATACTTACTGACTCAATGGTTTAGTTGCAATTCTAGTGGTTCATAAATATTTGTTTCCTCTGAATTGCTATATTTACAGCTCTTCATTTGGTGTGTTACAAGCCGCTTTGGGCACAATTTTGTGGAAAAGTGGCATATAAACAAACGGATTAATGGATTAATTATATCCTGGATTTGACAGCTCCTAGCTGCCCAGATTAAGCCTGTAAAATTGTTCAGCTGCTACTAACACTGTGGTATTTAGTGGCGTTCAGTATCTCATGACAAAATGTCTGCCCCTACTTGAGTGCTTCCGTGCAACTTCTTGGTTTATTGAAAGGCAGCTTGTAATGATTAATTGTTGGAGAGAATACTTTATTCTGGGCTGTTATTAATGTTGAGGCATTTGTTGCATCCTGCATTAATTTTCCCGTGGCGTGGTGTGATAAATCTGAAGCAGTAGTTTCAGGATAAAATAGTAATTTTAAACGCTGTGTACATATTTGCCGTGTCCAAATCTTTGGCAAACCGAAGCGAACATTAATTTGGGGGCAGGAGGTACACTGCGTCATATCGCGGTGGGAATATTTTCAAGGGCATGGTGAGCTGAGATTTAGAGCTGGATCATAGCATCCCACTACACAACTAGTTCAGCAGGACAAGTCGAAATTAATTCACCCCAGATCTGTTTCTGAGCATTTGGCGCTGATGTATATTCTGATATTTTTCATGACATGAAAAGAAAAGTAGCTGGGAACGGTTGAGTGATCCAGACCTCATTCAAGAGCCATTATGTTTACGTTAAATGGAGGGAAGTCTCTTTTTCCTTCTTGTGGTCCATTTCCACCCTTCCCAAGGTTCAGGCATGGATTCAGCTTCCAACAGCCACAAACAAGCTTCACTGTGCTGTGCAGTGGCAAAATGGCGGTCTGAGCTAAGACTGAAGAGCTCCCAGCAACAGGCTGCTGACCACTCTCTGTACTGCCCCATGGTTGTCATAGAATTGTAGAGTTGGAAGAGATCCCGAGGGTCGTCTAGTCCAACCCCCTGCAATGCAGGAATTGATGAAGGACAGTCTAGAAATGATGATAATGATAGTAACAATGATAGCTGGATAGATGCATCTCTGATCAGATGCAAGATTATCTGAGTCACTTCATAGTCAAATTCTAACCTACAGTGATCTTATGGAGGTTGTTTATTGAGCATTCAATAGCAATTGTGATCCCTGGTGCAGTTTCCCATTGCTTTCCATATCACACACATACAAAAATCAGGTTTTGTTGTGCAAAAAGACCAAATCTACTTTAACTGTGCAACCTGAATTTGCCAGCTTGCGGCTGAATCCCACCCACAAAACAGTGAGTCTGAAGGTGAGACCATAACTACGTCTATGTTTATTGACAGGTAGGTAGCCATGTTGGTCTGCCGTAGTCAAAACAAAATAAATTCCTTCCAGTAGCACCTTAGCAACCAACTAAGTTTGTTATTGGCATGAGCTTTCGTGTGCATGCACACTTCTTCAGATACCGAATGAGCTGAAGAAGTGTGCATGAACACGGAAACTCATACCAATAACAAACTTAGTTGGTCTCTAAGGTGCTACTGGAAGGAATTTTTTTTATTATGTTTATTGAGCTATACATATGGGCATATGCAGTGCTTTTTTTTCTTTAAAAAAATGTTTAGGGTACTCTCATTTTGACTCAAACCCCCCACCATTTTATAGTTCAAATCGGGAATACAGTAAATGGACAAAGATTCACAAAATGTTTAGGTGTATGTGTACCCCTGCGTTCCCCCCAGGAACAAAAAAGCACAATGGTGGAAGTTTGACAAACTTAAGCTCATAAGTTTTCTAAACAATTATTTCTTGTGATTTCCGCGTTCATTGCCATCGATACAGAGTTGGGCCTCCTCCATGATTTACGTATACATCGCTGCACTCTGTTTAACCCCAGATTACTCTGGCACTGAGCTGTTATGTTTATGGATTTCAAATTTATTGACATTTGACATCTGCATGGGTTTTCACCTGACCAACAGGAGCCTCTGCCGCCAGTGGGAATAATTGCAGAGGATTTCAACAGCCATGGGAACAGGGGGGAAAAGTCATTAAATCATATTGGAAAAACAATGTGCTCATACATTCTAGTCTTGCCAGTAAATCTCCCAGTTGAGGTCTGGACCACCTAGCGGGGATATTCAAAGGCGGCTGGTGGTGGGGTGGGGGGACACAGAGAGAATTAGAGATATGAATTAAAGTTAAAGTGAGCAACACAAACTCAGCACGGTGGGATCTTTGCTCTTCGAGTCCAAAAAAGACAAAACATGATGGGTCGACTTTATGGGAGCTAAATCCCCCACCAGATACACATGGCTTGATTTATAAGCACCATGAGGACAAGAACGTGAGTAGCACCAGATTATTCCATACAATTTGTATGTGGGAGGTGAAAGATACAGAAAACATATGGAACCTTTTTTAATTTCTTTTTTTTCTTTTTATGCAGGCTGTGCTTTTACCCAAATTTTCACTATGCTAATTAATCGTGTTCAGACTCTCCTCTGCCCGCTTTTATTCAGGCATGAAATATAGATTTGCAAACCTTTCACCCTAATCTTTTCTGGAATGTTCTGGGTTTATTTTAGCTTCTTTTGTTTAGATAATGAAACCGTAGACCCTGGAAGTATAGACAAGGTTTTGAAGAGAACATCGTTCTCTCGGGCTGATGTGTCAGCATTAGAGATCCCAGCTAAAACAGAAACAATGCTTTCTGCACAATCTTCCCTCAGAAGCGAAATCCTGAGGAACGAGATGTTCCTTTCACTATACACACTGAACTACAGGAGATCTGGGCTCCTTTGATGTTACGGACTTTGTTCATGAGCAGGCCCCCAAATGTTGCACACCGTAGGGGCGACCATAGAGTCTTACAAGAAAAGCTACCATACCAAGCAAGCAAAGACGTAATTTTCTAGCAGGCTGCTACATTCTGAGCAAATATCATAAATAAAAGAAAACAGTGAAAGAAGCAGCAGCTCAACTAACGCCTCAGAAAGACTAGATGGCATAGGCCCTCAAATATTGTCCCATCTCAATGTCACCACTCTCACCTCTTCCATACTCTAACATCCTGCACTGAAAGACAAGAATTGAAGGGGCCTTGCAAAAGCGCATTTGTATGTTGAGCCAAATGAGGTCCAGCGCTGAGAGCCTTCTGGCGGTTCCCTCACTGCAAGAAGTGAGGTTACGGGGAACCAGGCAGAGGGCCTTCTCGGTAGTGGCGCCCGCCCTGTGGAACGCCCTCCCAGCAGATCTCAAGGCAATAAGCAACTACCTTATTTTTAAAAGACACCTGAAGGCGGCCCTGTTTAGGGAGGTTTTTCATGTTTGATGCTGTATTGTGTTTTTACTATTCGGTTGGAAGCTGCCCAGAGCGGCTGGGGAATAAATAATAAATTCTTCTTCTTCTTCTTCTTCTTGCAACCCCCCCTTCAGACTTTCCCTAAATCAGGGGTGGAGCTGGTGAGGGTCTAAGCCGAGGCGTCATGTCCCCTACTATGCATTTGTTGCAATGCCTGAACGGGACTTTATTTATTTAAAAATGTACAATCGGCCTTCTGAGGAAGGTCCTCTACAAAGCAGTTTACAAAGTCTTCGGTGTTGTGGAAACTAAATCTTTTAGTGTGTGCGTGTTGAGGAGGGGACCCTAAATCCTCTATCAAATAGGCTTCTTTTAAAAATGGTATGTCACCAGAGGAACCAAAATGATGTTCTTTTAGTACAAGCATAGCCAATGTGGTGCTCAACAGACACTGATGGACTCCAACTCCCATCAGGCCCAGCCTGCATGGCCAGTGATGAGGGGTGATAGGAATTGTAGGCTAATTTCTGGAGGTTGCTGACGCTTGCTTTAGTAAGAGCATGAAATAAATCATGGACACTCAGCAGCATTTTAGTGCAAATACCTCTTAATATGCAGAGTTTTGCACGCAGTTTTGCCTAATATACACCTCTTCGCAAGCATTTTCCTCTAAGTTAATGCATTTGTATATTTTCAACAGTGCATGCATTTTTTCTGCACGCTTTCCGTCAACATATGCATTTTTGTACATGTAATTTGGCTGGACAACTACATTCCAAAATTGGGAGAAGTGCAACTGTGTTTCAGTTTGCATATTGGTTTGAAAAATGTGGATTGGGTAGTTTCTCATGAAAATAGAAACAAAATTGAATTTGTTCCCCAATGCTATGTAGGGCAGAAGCCATCAGTTGTGATAAGAGGTGTCCAGCGTTGTCTGTTTCACCCTTCAGTTTCTTGTAGTATCATTTTAGAAAGTTTGCAGCAAATGTTGCAGCAAATGTTACTGCCTTTGGAAATGTCAGGTGAACATCTTCCAGTTTTTCACCCTTTAATGGTCTTCATCATTACTCCTCAAAGATTGAGGACAACAACTGGTTGGAAATCAGCACATACCAAATTGGAAATTTCTGGCAGTCCCTTCCCCCGCCCCAGGATTGTCATAAATATGTATAAATTCATATTAATAATCGGGAGTATTTCCCGTAGAAGATGCTCTGTATCTCGGGGTGAGCAGGCAAGATAGCAGCTGCTACAGTTTCCTATTTCTTCTTGTAAATCCATAGTAAGGCCTCTTTCTCTCATAATGCAACCTTACTCCGAAATGAAATGTGCATAAGCTCAGCCTATCATTTTATTTTAATCCATTAACTCTCCGGCTTTTAAGTGATAAAACAATTCCATAAGTACCTTCAAAATAGAGGAAACAAATCATGATAAGAACAATTTACATCAATTTGCATATAAACTAATGTATATGTATAGATGCAAATTTAGAAATATTTAATAGAAATAAATTTCACCCTAGTGGGGAAGACTATGATCAGCTCAGATGCTAATTATGGAGGGCAACTTCAAAGTTTTCTCTTTTTATGGTCCAGTCTCTAAACAAGACTTGGACTGGATTGCTCATCAAACAGAGGATGTCTTCAAATGCACAGGGCAGGATTTAACTAAGCTGTTGCACAGGTGGAACAAGGTCTGCTTGCCAGAACTTTAAGGAAAATTCACTGGAGGAGAATGAACTCCAAAGGGCATTTTAAAATTATGCAAAAAGGCATTTCTAATCTTCATCTCAAATAACTAAACATGCATTTGTTTAAATAAATAAATGCCACAAAACATGCATTTTAAGAGTTAATCATTGTCATTCAAAATCTAAATAAAAATATCCAGAGCTGAAAAATATTTATTTATTTACAAAATCTGACATGGGATAAATCTCTAGAACAGGCTGACGCCGTTTCCTGTCTCTGGTTGAAAGAATGTTGACAATGGCAGGCCGGTGATCATTCCATGGGAATTGCTCCCTGATAAGTATGTAAAGGATTGCAGTCTGAATTTAAAATGTGCCCACTGGTCCAAAAAGATTGGTGACCCCACTGTCTTAGCAGAACGTGATTCTGCAGCTCTGCGAAGATAAGCTTTTGGGCATGCTGAGAAACTGAGGAATGATTCTGATTTGGCTTGCCAGGGCATCAAAGCCAATCTCCAGTCTCCCCTCTTCCCCACACACGAGAGCCCGAAGTCTTGAACCTTCTTAAAGTGAGAAATTTATTTAAGTGATACGGGTTACATGGGCAACAGTTCTGCTTTAAAGGGGGGTGGCAAATCACAGAGTACAGAGCAAAGAACAAGCAGCATCTAAAGCTGGATTTTGTTTTCCCCAAATGAAAACCAGGGCCAATTCAAAGGGCATGACCAGGAGAAAGGGGGGGGGGGAAGAATGCATGAGGTTGAGGGGGGATTCCCCCTACACCCCTAAGTCTGCTATGGAAGGTTAGTGGAAGATGAGGGGAAGTCCTTTTGCATGAGCAGAACTCATTCCATTTGCACACACCCTACAGAATTGTACCCCAAGTTTGTTCTGTGACAGCCCCTCAAACAGAGGACTGGGAACAAGAGACAGCAGACTGAGAGGTCATGCTGGTCTCTTAGTCACAGTCTTCAACACTATGGAGAGAAGCACTATATTTCTCTTTAATTGATAGTAATTATTTCTAAATTTGCATATATACCTATAAATTAACATATGCAAATTTTATGCCATCCTTGTTAAGATTTCCATTATGCATTTACCTATTGACACTGTGCTTAGTTATGACTGCTTCCATAATCTTTTAAAAACAGATGTTTATTGCTACTAATGTCATATTTTGTGAGCTACCTTGGACGAAATCTCATGGGAATGCAGCATAAGAAGAAACAGATGATGCTAATGAGAAAGAAAAGCTATCTTTAAGGTTATTTCCCCCCCAATAATTGTTTGGCACAGGTAGGATGGAAGCAAAAAAACAAACAAAAACAAAAACAAAAAAATAACCCAACCACCACAAGCAGAAAATAAAATACAAGCAAGCATCCACATCACACCATACTGGGCAAGTCCAGTTAGCCTCTAGAATAAGCTGCAAGTGGTTTTATGAATCGTCTGCTCCAGCCTTCAGCCTTTAAAGTATTTCCTATCAGGAGGAGCTGGGCTTCAGTCAACAGCAAATTCCAATCCACCATTCCCCATGTAAGTCAAAGTACAAGATGCTTTGGGTGGGTTCTGGAATGTGGATGTTTATCATTAGCCTGTGCTAGGAAGATGGCGTTTTAAAACGGTTATGACAAATGAGACCTGCACCATGATTTTGCAGCATGGAGTGCTTCCAGCCAGCTCATGACATTTCCCCCCCCAGGATGCTCCATTTCATTCTAATTCCCCCCTTCCTAGATTTCTGCTTTATCTCCCTGGCCAGCCAGTATTCTGTACTTGCTGAGCACAAGGCAGTCCTTATTGCTTGGACATCATCCATTAAGACTGGGAGCCAAGGATCAACATCTTCCCCAGTATCAACCACATTCCAACCTACAGGTGAGGCCTTGTTGCTGCTGCCACCACCAAGGGAAACCCGGTTGGCATTGACCCGTGACAGGGTCTTTTCAGTGGCGGTTCCCCATTTGTTAAATACCTTGCCTAGAGAGGTCTCCTTCACTATTAATTTTTATGAGGACTCTCCAGTTACTGTCAAGTAAAAGTGGGTACTGGGTTGCAGCATTAATGACCTTGTCAACTGATCAGAGCGCTGACCAGTTCATGATATCTGCCCCAACTCACACAGATCATATTCCTGATCAAAACGGTCCCCTACCAATCTGCAATTGGTTGGGGGATATATATGTGCTTGCATTTAAAATATACTAAATCCCTCTGCTCCACTTCTATCCCCCTCCCCATAGGTCTTTCTGAAAAATGGACCACAGTAAATCATAACAAATAATCTTATCGGCACCACACAAAAGAGAGAAAAAAATTGCACATATATCTCTAATGCACTTGA